TATCGCATCAAACGATATAATAATAAACTATTAATATATGTGTATATACACAAAATATTTAACTAAAACTATTAATCTGATATTTGCCTATAATTGTGATTAATAATAACCTAACAGTCCATATTTATACATAGAATCTTAAACTGAAAACAATCATTTTAATATTTACAGTTTTGTTTTATCGTAAATGTTACATATACGGATACGTACTCAAGTAAACTAGGGATAACCTGACGGCCACATGGAAACCTCGTGGAACCACACAACCATTAATTTATCCTAAACAAGAAGTCTAATTTAGTTCAAATTTTTAAAGAGTACGTCTGATTGGTCCTTCACTCTGATCAACGCAGAAGCACTCTCTGTCCTTCTGCACCCACAAAATCTAACAAGAGTAAGCCGATTTGTTGCCACGTTGAGCACCACGCGGTGTGTTCTTTCGCGTATAATTTCGTTAACTATTGTCGAATCGGCACTGGATTTTAATTGTTGATGCGGACGCACTTGATAATCAAATTCTAATGGTTATATTACCAAAGAAAAAACTTTAACATGACTTAAAATTTGAAGAAAACAAACATATACGGACCGTTACGACATCCACTCCGCATGGCAGCCAAACGAGAACTCGATATATATGTTATGTTATGAAATGTTATATATATATATATATATATATATATATATATATATATATATATATATATATATATATATATATAAATTTATGTATATATATATACGCGGCCTCTATGGACTGCTATCTGCAGTTATGTTGTTATTTAAAGTATTGTTGTTATTTATATTTCTTATTATTAAATTACTATATTATTATATTTATATTTCTTATTAATATATATATATATATTAATAAGAAACAGGCAAAGAAGAGGCAACACCAAATATATATTTTTATTTCTTATTATACGAGTAACTAATTTCATATGAAGATAGGGATTATCAGTGCCTTATAACAATTATCAGTGTTCAGGTTATAAACATATAATAATAAGAAATTTAAATAATAACAACAACACTTTAAATAACAAGATAACTGCTGATAGCAATCCATAGAGCCCGCCTCGCTCACAAGTACCCTTTTTGTTAATTGCATATACTTTTTTGTTTGTTTTTTTAAATTTTATTTTAGGGAGAGGTTAAGAATTTATTGAAACCAATTGAGCTAATATTTATTAATGGACGCATTTTTAATAAATTATAAAAACATAACCGATTCCGACGGTACAACCAAAGTTAGTTTTATGTTCGTAGATTATCATCGTTACCAATTGCATCTATGATTTGCAATACAGCTTCGATTCTCATCTACGTGACTATTCATTTGTCTCTCGGAAGAATACTAAATCCTACGGTGATTCGGGTGCCGTACGATGCCTTCTCGATTCCTCGGTAGCGAGTTTCGGCAAATAGGAGCGGGTGCGCAACAGCCGGGGGCGGCCCGTGAACAGGTGGGCCAGTCTGCCTTCCGTTTCCGGGCGAGCGACATGTCCTGTTGCCGGCACAGGAGGAGGCACTTCCTCACCGGCTTGGGTAAGTGTTTGTGTTGGTGTAGCTTAACAATCCGTCTTGTAACAACATGTGGATTGACAGGAATGATTGTGTATATACTTGTTTGTTCAAGTGTTGGATGATGTCATTCAAACATTTTTTAATGGCAGCTTCATTTCTTTTAAAGTTATGTTTTATTACATACCTTCAAATTGAATGAACCCATGAATGCAGTAAAATGTACGGATGTCTTTGTTTTCTCAGGACGAGCTATTATTCAATGTTCACTGACTAAAGCAATAAAAAAGTGATTCACATCATGAAATTGAATCTGTCTTATTATTCGATTTGATTGTTGAACGATTTATTTCTAATCAACACAATTTATTATTTAATTTTTTTTTGCATTTTAATATAATATAATTATTTTAAAAGGTACAATACTATTGTTAATTTCATATTACTGGCCAACACATTGATTGACTAAAATATCTTTAATTTAATTTATTTTCTTATATAAAATTATATCTCATGTATGTGTTATAACTTCAAATCAATTATTATGCATATTTATACCGATCTATTTTCAAAAGAAAGTTACTATTAATAGACGAACAATACCAGTAAAAATGAATAGTATTAAAATTGTCATTTTATTTTTTTTTTCTCTTAATTATTAAAAAATATGAGTAAAGAAAAAAAAATTTAAGGTAATAAATATGTACAATATTTGAGCTTAGGGCGCAGGTAATAAATTTACTAGGGATTCCTGCGATCAGAAAAACAACTTCAAAACTCCAAAACGTTTTAGTATTTTTACGACTCTTAAATGAAAGAGAGGGGCTTTACTAAATAGATGTTAATTTGAAATAAATATGTTTATTTTTCAAAGGTCCCTTACACCTTGCCTAATTATTTAATGCCCTACTCATTTCTCCACTCTATTCCTCTTCTCGTGCCTTCCTCACCAAGGTTTTTTTCTGGTTTTGCAAAACTTTTCACAATTTTAATATTTTTTCCCCTATTATTATTATTATTATTTAAAAAAATAATACATTTGAATGGTTTGGGTAAAAAAATGCCCTTCTTACCTGTCGAATTCTATTTTGTCAAATGGATGCTATACATAGAGATATATTTTATATTTAAATAGTATTGTTAGTACCTTATTTGATATTATTAAGAAGATTAAAATTAAGAAGTTTAACAGTATGGATCGTAGTTTCTTATTAGCTCCATCCGTCTATGAAGTTGCACATGAATCCAGCAACAGAACTAGTTTGCCTTCATACAAGAATAATTTGCAGATGTGTCATCAAGAAATGAAAATGTTTTAGCGTGCTTTTATTTATTATTAAAACTGTCCTCTAAATGAGGTAAACCGAGGAATTATGCAAGAATCTGAATATTTAATGTCGTTTTCGTAATATAACGACATAGACGGCTATGTTTAAACGTGTGTCGTCATAGCGAAGAAATGCTTAGATATAAAAGGTATTTACTTTATTATAAAATCAGCTTTGCTTTTATTTTTTTAGTTATATATACTTTTTATTACAGCTTTATAATTATTACATTTTTGTGTAACAGTAATTATAATAGCTGGACCGTGCGAATAATTCACATAAAATATTGGTCTGAGAACAACTGATAAAATAGTATGGAAATATGTTAATGCAATGTATTATCAGGTGAAGGAATTCATTTTCCTTTTCTTAGTCGAATTAAAATTTTTATTTCTTAATAATAAATATTTTTTTTTTAGTGTAGTATATATCTTTAGTATACAATGGTCCAATTTCGATATTTTTTATTTATTTTGTCAGAAATTTTGTAACTTTTTAATCATTCATGGATTTAACATACCGTAAATTGCATACTTTTTCTGTTGTGGCCAAATGAAGTTTGTTTTTATTTTTAACTTTTTTTTCTCTGAGATGTTAGGGGTTGTGTTTAGACAATCTTTAAAATGATGGTCCGATAATCGGAACTAACGAAGATATGACAACACAGTACAACACCAGTGAGGAATAAAATATAGTATATATTGTATTTATTTCTAACAATGGGGACTTTCGGATCATTTTAGCTCTTACACGGTATTGATATGACACAATATTTTAATTAACAGTAAAATTTAAGGTAGAAAACATTAACATTAGCAAAAAAAAAAAAAAAGAAATTGTTTTATAGCTGTGTTTTTCAATAAATAAAAACTATTTGTTGCCATTTTTCTGTTTTTTATCAAAATTTCGGCAATATTATTTTCCAACTCTTCTTCATTCCAATGTTCTTTTTAGGCACAACGCTCAGTCTAGATGTGCATCACCGTGAGATTTACACCGCCAGAAAGAAATGATACTTAATCTTAATAATTGTCAGACTTATCCTTAAATACATAAAACTTGGAAATCAATAAATAAGCAATTAAATTTTCATTCTTATAACTTTTTTTTATGAAATTCTGGTGGATGTTACTATGTTTCGTCACTGCTCCATTTAAACTCTAGTTAGATACCTCATTCATCAAAATCCATCCTGAGAGCTGGAAAAGGGATCGTTATGGCAAATAACTGTAGTGTTATATTATAAAGATGGATTTTTTCTCTAATTATAAATACAATGAAATAGAAAATTGTTATTTTACCTTTTTATTGTATTGAGTTAATTATGTATCCATGAATCAACTTTGAAATAATGTATCTATTGTAGAAAAAAGTAATCTCTATACGACTTATAAATGTTAGAGTGAATTAAAAAATATATGATATTGTTATTATATGACAATTATATCATATTGTTTCAATACAATCTATACATATATGTGAAATGAAGATACCACTTTAAGTGATCACTGTAACTCATAAGTGACAATGCCTATGAAGCTGAAATTTGTATATGGTAGGGGCTTCAGCCCGATAGGTTTTTAAAAAAAAATGTATATAAGGATAATTACATTGGAAAAAAGAAGAGAAACTAATTACCTAAATGAAAAAGTGTTTAAGTGATACTTGAAGTCCTATTAAATGTAATTACACGAACTATTTAATAATACTTTAAGAGATAATTTTTAATATTTTCTTCCATAAAACAGGGTTACAGTTTACCATTTCAGGGGGAGGGAGTGAGGCTTCAGCCCGAAAGCCCCTTCCGTAGATCCGCCTGTGGTTCCTCGTTTGTTTTTTCATTTTTTAAATCAAAGAACAAATTTAATTCCGTGTATATTTCAAATCCTTTATTTTATTTTTTTATGAATCACCTGCTACCCACCATTTATGCCAAGCTAAGGGGAGGAGTTGTTCTAGAGGTACAACAAAACTTATTCTAACCAGAATTTTCAGAGAATGTTTAGTTATGAACCTGAATGATCCCCTATCAATTTTGTCAATTTCCTTGTTTACGTACGCTTAAATTTTTTTTAGACACACTTATATTTTAAAAACAACTCCTTCGATTTGGCCCTAAATTTGAGAAAAGTTGGGGATTGGTGAAAAAAATGATCAAGAAGGTATCAGTTTTATTGGATTCCATCGACTATTTAAAAAAAATACTTTAGCTACTCATTATCCTTGATAGGTCTATTTCAAAAACGGCTCTTTCCCTTTGGTTCAAAAGTGGAGGAAATTTAGGGAACAGTGTACCAACATCAGTTTTAAATAAATAGTTTGAATTTTATTAATGTTGAAATTTTGAATGATTTCATCATAAATAAAAATTAAATACTTAGGGTGCTATGAATTTATTGATTTTTTAAATTTATTTTATACTATAGGCTTCAAATTTATACTTATATAACCATGAAAATTAGTTACTCCATTACAGTTATCTATCATAACTTAAATAATGTATTACTTGTTGTTGTATACAATTAATGGTATAGTTCAATTTTTGACTACAGATATTGTTAACAAATTCAAACATTACCTCTATTGTTCAGTGACAATTAAGATAAAGCGGCAATGGTAGATAAAACCGTATTGCTGTGGGTAAGGTGCCAGGAATGTCGTTTATTTTGTAGATGCTCTCTTAAACGAAATATCTCCACACCGATATTTTATGGGTGTAATTTTATTTGCTACGTTTTGTTAAAATATCATATTGCTAATAATGAAAATTTGAATTTTTCGAATAGTTTATTTATCAGACTGTTAAGTAAAAATAAAAAATCTTAAAATAAATTCATTCAGTATTATTACTTTAAATTCCTTCTCTATATTACTGCAACATTAATCAAGGACAACTTTTGAAATAAATGAAAGTGATTATTCGATTGCTTGAAATATATATATTTAATTTGATGTCGACCTAACTATAAAATCTGAATATATTTTGGTTCATGGAACTACTCTTATTTTTGGAGCTTCCTTAATAGATTTCACATTTTACTAGCTACAAAAAATGTTCACCAAGTTATTAGCTATTCATAATCTAAAGAACAGAAATTTCGTTTTATTAGTTTCACTTTTATGAAAAGAAGCTCTATCGAGATAAGATCCTATTACTTATTTAATAAAGTTTCAGGAATAATGGAGGTAATAAAAAAGGATGAGATGTTTTTCAGTTCTAATAAGTTCATCATGTTCCATTATGAATAACAAAATGACATAATATTTTACGCTTATTCAATGTAGTCTAATGTTTATGACGTTCTAATAAAATTGATTAAAAATATATACCTATATTTTTTAATAAACGTCCTTTAATTATTCATTTATAAATTAATTAACGTACATTTTTAATTTTTGATTTAAATGTTTTTGAGATAAAGTTGTCACGCAGTTTTGTTTCCGATGAAATCGACTTGTACGGCTGAAAAATATTTCTTTGTAAAATCGAGTGTTAAGTGAACTTGCTTTGTATTACCTATTTAGCAAGAGAAACATTTTTATGACACTATGCTAAATTATAATTTTTATGGCTCTAGTTATGTAATAAATCCTTGTATTCAATGTTCCACTGGGGATTTATGGTTCAGAAATCGGTAAATTGTTTTGAGACAAGATAGTTTAAATTTAAAGGCCATCTTTTTTTAAATTTATATT